AGCAAGGGAACATGTTTTTTTTTGTTTAAAATTTCTTTAAATATTCCATTTTGAGCAACTGTGATGAGAGATTATCATGCAAAATACATAGGGTCTATTCAAATACTTGATCTACAGTTTTATTATTTCTTCCATAGCTTCGTTCGTCAATTCCCTTACCGGAGAAGTAGATGTGGGGTGGCACTCCATCTCGATTGAGGGACTGGGAAAACATATCTATGGAGGACTTTGTTTGCAACTGTGAGATCTCGCGGTGATATAGTTCTTAACGTGGCTTCAAGTGGTATAGCATCGCTTCTCTTCAGAGCCGTCCAATGAATTTGGAGGCCCTGTTCCAACCGTAAAATCGCGGCCCTATATTAATATTAAGAATTAAAAAATCAAACGAAATACTTGTACTGAAATCAATTGAATACTCATCAAATAATGTAATAAAATTCTAAAAATCACTTAATACTTGATTTAAAGTACCACAATTTATCACTCAATCAATTTGAGTAAAATATGAGTAAGAGTACTGATAAAAAACTGTATTTTATTGTTTAGTATTTATTTCTCCATTAATACTATGTAATACTAATATTTTTTAAAAAAAAATTGGGGCCCCAAAAATCAGGAGGCCCTGTTCTGTAGAACATGTTGAACATGCTAAACGCCGGCTCTGCTTCTCTTGCCTGGAGGAAGGACCACACATTCTAGATTTGTGATTCCATTTAGTGTTGTAGAAGACTCCACGTGCAACATAAAACATGGTAGTCTATTTGCTAAGCTGATAGAGTTATCTAAGTTGATTATATGGGATGAGGCACCGATGACGCACCGACACTGTTTCGAAGCTCTTGACCGAGGTATGAGAGACGTGCTTCGTTACTCCAGCCATTGTGACGCGACCTCGCCTTTTGGTGGGAAGACGATTGTATTTGGTGGTGACTTTATGCAGATTCTTCCTGTGATACCAAAAGGCGCGAGACAAGATATTGTGCACGCTGCACTGAACAGTTAATCCATGTGGTCACATTGTACTGTAGTGAGGCTTACTAAAAACTTGAGTCTCACAAGGATGCTCGGCCAGTGCGGACTGGACTTTGAAGATTGGTGACAAGGCCTTTGCTGAGAATCAAGATGGATAATCGCTCATTGATATACCAGACGATATGATCTCTCCAATGACGTCAGATGCTGTTGAATCTATTGTTCAAGCTATTTATCCTGATTTCTTGACCCACAATGATCCGATTAATTATTTTTATACCAGGGCTATTCTTGCTCCGACCATAGATGAGGTTGATAAGGTCAACGATTACATGTTGAGCCAGACAGATTCAGAGTTAAAGACATGCCTAAGATCAGATTAAGCTTCTTCATTACTCAGTTAGTAATGATCTCTTACGGGAAATACATTCTCCTAAATTTTTTAATAACATCATATGTTCTGGTTTGCCGAGTCATGCGCTGAAGCTAAAAGTTGGAGTTCCTGTGATGCTTATGAGGAATATTGATCACTCATCTAGATTGTGCAACGGCACATGGCTTCTGATCACTAAACTTGGAGCTCATATTATTGAGGCTCAGATGATGCACGGAGAAAATGCTGGTGAAAGGTTTCTTATTCCCCGCCTTACTTTGAAACCATCGGACATTAGTCTCCCGTTCACTTTTCAGCGTAGACAATTTCTGTTCATGATTAGCTATGCAATGACCAGTAATAAGAGCCAGGGCAATCATTGGAAAAGGTTGGCATCTTCCTTCGTCGGCCTGTTTTTACGCATGGACAGTTGTACGTGGCGGTCTCGAGAGTAACAAGTCCGTATGGATTAAAGTTTGTTATATGTGACGAAAAAGGGAAACCAACGAAGTCAGCGTTGAACGTAGTATACAAAGAAGTTTATACTAATTTATAGTTCCCTTGCTTTACATGCATGCATACTCATTGCTATGTATATCACATCATGATTTGTACTTAACTTTGAGCATTATTTTTTAATTTCATACGGAATATGAAATACTCCCTCTGTCCCTTAAAATTCTGTCAACTTTTCTTTTTGGATGTCCCACTAACTTTGCCACTTTCCCTTTTAAGTAAATAATTTGTGGTTTTAATTAATTCTCTGTCCTCTGCTCAAACCTCTACCACACAATTTTTACTTTATTAATCTCCGTGGCAGTCAAACATGACAAAGTTTTAAGGGACGGAGGTAGTATGAAACTTATTTTATTTTATGCTTTAAATTGATTATTTAGTTTTAGTTTTTAATTTTATGTTTTGAGTTTGTTAATTGACTATGAAATTCTTTGAGTTTATGTATGATTTATCCAAACATCTTCACTCCCGTGCGTAGCACGGGTGGAATTACTAGTAACTCTAATGCTAATGATGGTTGGTAAGATAAAAATGACACAATATCACACCAATTTTTGTGATGGCTAGCATTTATATGTAGCTAGATGGGTTTTTGTGGTGACAGGGGATCCTTGCTTGGAATGCCCCGTAGATGTTTTTGATGTTGTACATTTGTACATAAACATTCTTGGATATATATATATATATATATATATATATATATATATATATATATATATAGAGAGAGAGAGAGAGAGAGGAAACTTCATGTCAGGCCGGCCTGACGGGCTGCCCCGTCCGGCCGAGCCCTTTTGGGCACCTTCCCGGTGGAATTTTTTGATGAAATTTTTTGAGCATGTTCCTCATCAAGTCTAGTTTGTCCATACCAAATTTCAGCTCAAAATTCGATCGGGAAGGTTGTCAAATGATTTTTGCAAGTTAACTGGTCCGGAATATGTGTATATATATATATATATATATATATATATATATATATATATATATATATATGTATGTGTGTGTGTGTGTGTATATATATATATATAGGGAAAAGATCAGGTGAGAAATGCCCCTTAAAATGAGAAGTGAGAAGTAATCTCAGCCCTTGGATTTGCATCTGATCTTACAACGTAGTAAACTTATAGACTAAATATAGGAACTTATAACCAATAAACCATAACTTATAAAGCTCTCCATAATAATTACGAAAATGCCACCGCGTCAAAAAATTTTCCAGGTTTCTGTAATTATTTTTTTGCGGTGGCATTTTTGTAATTATTTTCGAGGGGTCTATAAGTTATGATTTATTGCTTAAAAGTTCCTATATTTAGTCTATAAGTTTAACTTCGCAGTTCTCAGCCTAAGAACACTTCTCACCTGATCCGCTCCCTATATATGTATGTGTGTATATATATATATATATATATAGGGAGCGGTTCCGGTAAGAACAGATCTTAGGGAGAGTCAAGGACGGAATCTGCTCAAAGCTTCACAAAAGGTGGGGAAGAGCCAAAGGAAGAGGTGTCCAAAAGAAGGAAAATCTGGGAGACTCAGATAGAGAACGAGAATGAGGAGGACATCATGCTCACAGATGGGACAAAAAACGGGGTGGAGGCGGGCTTGGATCCTTAAGCCTGGTTCTAGTTGTCTGGCGGCAAAAAGGGTGTTATTTATTCTTCTTTATTTACTGCTTCATCAACTTTAGGTTCTGTTTTGGTTTATGTTTATGTTTCTGTTTTCCTGTTCTAGTCTGTAAGACGTTGATTTTGGATGTGGGGGATGAGAGGAAATTGGTAACCGTGTTAGGCTTTGTGTTTCCCGATTATGGATCAGCGAATTATATTGCTATGGTGATTAATTCTAAGTCTGGTTCGAGGGATAACGGTTATCAGCTTCTTTTTTATCAGTTGACTCATACTCTGAATTATTATTGGTTATTAATCTAAACCGAATTCAGTAAAAAAAGATTGGTTCCCTCCATTAAGCGAAAAATGCATCAAACACTACCTTTTCCATTACGGACAACTCACCTAACATGTTAAAATAAAGGAAAAACTATTATTAACCTCTGGGGTTGTGCCATAATTATTAATGCAACCTTGCATTTTCAAAAATCAATTAGTTACCCCCTAAGTTTTGAACATTTTCACTATATGCCCCCCTCATGTTAATATTTTTTAAATTAAATTTAATAAAATTCTTAAATTCAATAAAAATTGTCCGTGAAATTAATTTTTAAAGTAAAACACAATTTATTATCATAATAATGAGTCATTGTTTTTTATTGTTATTTTTCTACTTAGATACTCCATCGTGGAATAATATTGATCATAGTCAAGGCAGAAGAGTCTCAATTTGAGTAATATTCATGGGCTACATAAACGATTTTTTATTGAAATATGTGTTATCAAAATTCTATACACCTCTTCATTATCAATATTTCATCCGGCTGAATTAATCTCAATGACACTTCTTTCGTATGTAGCAAAGAACTAAGAAAAAATGAATTTTATTAATCCATGACTTAAAAGATTGATCTAATATTAATAAGAGTCCTAAAAGACAAAAATGTATCAATATATGGTCTAAATAAATGAAACCTATCGATCTAAATAAGAAGTGTAAGAACTAAAATATACTCCGTATATCATATATTTTGATTTGTTTAATTTTTGTTATTGATTCTATTACTAATTTTGATGATTTCTTCTTCACAAAAGGTTTGTAGTTTATAATAAGCTTAAATGTATTTAACTTTTTCAATAAAAAATATAAAATTCATGATATTTTATTTCTTACTCGTGAGTCCTCTCCCTTAACTACTTTCATTATTCCACGATTGAGTAGCTAAGTATAAAAATAACGGTAAACAACAATCAATTATAATTATGATAATAAATTGTGATTTACTTTAATATTTAATTTTATAGATATTTTTTATTGAATTTAAGAGTTATACTAAATTTAATTTAATAAATATTAACATGAGGAGGGCAAACGGTGAAAATAATCAAAACTTAGGGGGTAACTAATTGGTTTTTAAAAATTCAAGGTTGTATTAATAATTATGGCATAATCTCACGGGGCTAATAATAATTTTCCCTAAAATAAATTATCAGGTGGTATCTTGCCGACAAGGCACCCACACAGACGCTTAATATGAAATTATTGCCTTATGATTGAGTCATTGAACTTGAAATTTTAGAAATGTTCTTTAATCAACCAATTTGGGAAAAGAGTTACCCATTCAATCTGATCTCATTCCAAATATTCTTGGAACAAAAGACAATAACTAGCTAGCTAATGTACTAACTTCATATGAAATTGTTGTCTTATGATCGAACATATACATGCATAATGCCATCCATAAATCAAGAATGTCATTGAGACTAAAACCATCATTATCATCATTACTCCAATGCCACAAAGGCTCCCACATACGTTGGAGTCATTGAGACTAAAATCTGAAGGAAAAAAAAAACATCTTGAGATGAAATTCTTAAGAAAAACACGAGTTTTGATGAGAAATAAGCATCATCACCATCTCTATATTCAGGGATGGACTCGGGCCGGTACGGGGCCGGTTCGGGCCTGGCCGGGCCTCGGGTCTGTTTTGTTGGGCCCGAGCCCGAACCAATGCCACCGGTTCCGGGCCGGGCCGGGCCGGGCCACCCGGTTAGTTTTTTTTTTTCCTTTTCTTTTCTCCCCCCCCACCCCCCACCCCCCCAAACCCCCCAAACCGGTCCTAAACATCAAGCCCAACTCAATAAAGCCCAAAAAAATGAAAAAAATGAAGAAAAAAAAACAGTTTTTGGTCCGGACCCGGGCCCGACCCGGCCGGGCCGGTTCGCCAAAAATTGTAACCGAGCCCGGAACCGCCCATGCCCCCGGGCCTAGGCCCGAACCGGACCCGGAACCGGAAAACCGGGCCGGGCCGGTCCCGCACAGTAGCGGGCCGGGCCGGTCTCGGGCCGGGCGGCCCGAACCGAGGCCATACCTATCTATATTAGACTAAAATCAAGAATGCATATATTAAATCATTAGAATATGACAGTAAATATTGATTTCTAGTTAAGATATACTCATACATAAGTGCTATGGAGAGTCACTGCTTTGATCATGTTTGCTGCATAAATTAGAGCTTCGATCATGTTTGCTGCATAAATTAGAGCTTTGATGAGAAATAAGCATCATCACCATCTCTATATAAATGAATTAAAGAGCAGAGAAGAATACTATATAGGGTATTTGATAGCAATAGAAGATAAAGATACCTAGTAAAATTCTTTAGTGAGTAAAAATCATCTCAACTCTATCAAGTGATGCTTGTAACCGTCCAGAACTCATGTTGAATAATGGCTCCTCAGTACCTAAAGCCCTATCAGGCTCAAATTCAGATAACAAAAAATGAAATTTTACTCTTCTATCAGTAATTCGAAGCCCCTATTCTCCTATAACTGCCTCAAGAATTTGGCATATTAAATGTAATACGTTTAATAATTTAAATTAAACATGCTTTTAGTCCAGTAAATAGTGCTTTTTGTTGAAGGTCCATGTTTGTATTTCATCCCTGCAATTCAGGTTTTTTAGCCCTTCTCCTACTCTCCGTCAACTTTCCTGTTTAAGAAAAACAACTGATGTAACTCACAAAACTTCAATCTGCCTTGCCACGTCACTTCAATTTTAAAAAAACTGGTATTTTATTTCCATAGAACCAGAGACAAAAAGTGAGAATACCGAGCTTAGCCCAGACTTAATTCAACCAATAGTGTACGAAGAGTTATAAGAAGTTGGAATGGTTATAGAGTCCTGCGAGCTGCATCAATTTTCATATTCAATGAAAGTTAAAGGAGAGTCAGAGAGGGTTTAAAAGAAGACAATAAAAATGCATGGATGAAAAGATTTTCATTTCAGAGATCTAAAACGAAAATGCTACATTTACATATACTCAATTTTAAATAACCTAAATAATTCAATGATGCATCACTTATAAGTTTGTTGCTTTTTGTGGAGTTAATTACACTTTTGATCCTACGAGTTTTACGCCAATTTCACATTTGGTCCTTGTCTTTAACCATTTGTGGTCCTACCGTACAACTTTCCGACGTCTCTCCGGCAACTTTTACCACCAGAAATATTGACAGAGGCCATATACGGGCAAAAATCAATACTCGTGTACCAAAGATGGTCAAAGTCAAGACACAGGCCAATTATAAAATTGATACTGATAGTCGTTAGGACCGGGGGTATGCAAGATCCAAGTAAGTTGCTGGAGAACACAAGTATGACTGTATGAGGTGAGTAGAAACTCTGGCAAACCAAATGTATACTAAAAATGAATTACGAATCCCCTTCTACAAGCCGGAAGGTGGGTATTCATGCAAAAATGTGCAATACTTGGTGAACAAATAAAATAGCTAGTCTAACAAGAATGTGTCGCATGTATGGCTAATTGGTGAGAGGATTCCTGATTAATTGGTACCGTTATACGGATGATTGTCCTTCGCTAACAGAATGTCTGGACAAGCCATACGTGTATAGTGATAATTGGCTACGGTAATAAATTGGGTGACATTAGCCCTATAGTTAGTCGTTCCTTGGTGATGTAGCCCTTGATGGTTGATATGCTTGTGCTGAAATGTCCAAGTCCACATATCTATGCAAAGCGCTGAGCTCAGCGTGAGTGTGATGATACCTAGGGGTGTATTCGGTTCGGGAACCGAACCGAAATAGAAAGATTTCAAACCGAACCGAAATATCGGTTTCTCATATTCTCACACCCGAAACCGAACCGAATATTTTCAAAACCCGAATTTTTGGATCCCGAATTTTCGGGTCGGTTCTTCGGTTTGATGAAAAACTGAAATGTACTTCAAAATCTTGACTAAAAGGTGGCAGTGAGGCAAAGCCTTAGCCACCTAATTCAATTTTTTACCCAAGGGCCGTTTATATAGGGATGTAGGAGGAGAACATCTCCCATTTCATCCGGTGTGGGAAACTTTCAAATGCTTAGAAAAAATAAGTTCAAGGCACAGAGGCAGGAATCGAACATGGGTGGGGAGGAAAAATTTCGCTGAAGGGGAGTGTTCCCTAAACCGTTGGACTGCTTCACGATATTGTTAATGAATGGACTTGTAAAAGATTTATTACATTGATTATTATTACTAATAGCAATTATTAATAATAATATAAAATTGTCGGTTCAGTTCGGTCTAAACCGATTTTTTGTGTACGAAAACCGAACCCGAACCGATTTTATTTCGGGTCCCGATTTTTGGGACTCAATTTCGTTCGGTTCGGTTTGGTTTTTTTTCAAAACAGTTTGGTTATTTTCGGTACGGTTTTCGGTTTTCGGTTTGAAATGCCAGCCCTAATGATACCTAGATCAGATATGAACATATATGAATGCCCAGCTCAGAGACTGTGAAGCTTAGCTCGGCATGATAGAGCTCAACTCAGGTCTGAGCTGCCTTCCCAAGTTTGATTGAGAGGGCTAGGTCTGCAGAGCAGGATCTCTGCCACGCTCGCATTGTTCTGGCAGCGACGGCTACCTGGGCTGAATCTACAGAGAGTAAGCTGTGTAAGGCCCAAGAGGAGGTCCAGGCCGTAAATATTGCCTAGGGCCTTGATATTGTCTGAATTGTGCAGCTGGAGACGGATGTGGCCCTTCTTAAGGAGAAGGCCGAGGCTGCCGCTACTGAGCAGTGCAAGGAGCTGGAAAAGGCCCGAGCAGATCTGGCTGCTAAAATAAAAAAGGGTGAGGCTGCTGCTTCAGAGCACGCCCTTGCCTTGGAAAAAGTCAAGGCAGACCTTGCTGCCAAACCCGCCCTGTCCTTGGAAAAGGTGAAGGCTGAAGCCGCTGGTGCCAAGGAGGTGGTTAACCACCCCTGTTGGCGAGGAATACGCAAGAATTGTCCTCTTTGAATCTTTCAGACTCGGCAGTGCAGCAAAAGGTCTATGATAGGCTGAAGGAGGTCCTTCCAGATTTTAGCTACAAGAAACTTGGACTACCCTGGTCCTGGAGACCCTGACAAGGTCAAAGGGCAGGTGGTAGAGTATTTTGGGTTTACTCAATGATAGAGACTCAGCTAAACCGAACAAAGAAGACAAATACTTTGGGAGAGTCTATTCTAGAAGAAAGAAATAGAAGAGTAGTTATTAGTTACAATTCTGTTATTAACTAAATAACTACATTCGGTTGTACTGAGAATCTATAAATAGAATAGCCTGGGGAGAGACAAGTAGGCTGTTTGACTGTTTAGTCTATGCTAGGAAGATTGAGATTAATCATCTCTCTTTGGGACTTGGCTGTAACTCGATCACCATTAATAAAGCTCTGGCACTTTTCTTGAATTATTATTTTACTTTCCTAAACCCTAAACCCTAACCCCTAACCCCTAAACCCTAAACCCTAAACCCTTGAGGAAGAGACCAACCATTAAATGTTTTTCGAACTTGTGCAAGACATTAAAAGTTGCTTTGTTTGAGGGCTTACTTAACGACCTCGTTGTATTGTGGCTGAGTAGCATACTGGTGCGAGGGCTTACAAAGTGACATTGGCTTATTCTGATTGAGTAGCCTGTTTAGACAAGGGTTACGTGTTGGCCTCATAATGTTTTGACATGATGACATGTTTGTAGGAGGGCTTACATAGCAACCTCTGTTTTTGTCGCGGGTGAGTAGTCGTCTGAGGCGAAGGCTTACAGAGTGGCATCGGCAATTTGTATTGGAAGTAAAATTTCTTTTATTAAACGTGAAGGTCGAAATGGCTTACTCCAAATTTCTAGTGCTTTTAGAATTGCATGTCCTTCGTTGGACGAGAGCTATTTGTCTTATCTTACCGTCTTTGAGTCATTAGTAGTACATCACCAAGTGTTGGACGTTTCATAATCTAGGAAATTTCGTTCCCTTCGGGGTGCAGAGTTTGTAGGTTCCAAGTTGTACTATTGCTTTTACAATGTATGGGCCTTCAAATTTCTTGACCATTTTGCTACCGTCAATAGGTTGACTTGCAGTTATGCATCTGAGCACGTAGTCATCGACCTTGAATTTTCTCTCCCGGGCTCGGGCTTCACAGGGGGTGTTTGGATCTGATTATTAAAACTGCTTCTACTATTTCAGAGAGCAAGTGTTTGGGTGAAAGTGCAGAAGTACCTTCTGGTGCTCTAATTTAATTGGGTGCCAGACAGACTAAACAACTCCTTCCAGAATGCGCTAATAAATATTGAGTCCTGGTCGCTAACTATTAAGCGTGGAATGCCGTGCAACCTTACCACCTCTTTGGAAAAAACTTCAGCTACCGAGCGGTCTGTGATCGGACATTTTAAGGGAATAAAATGTCCTTATTTAGACAATCGATCCACCACCACTAAAATAGATGTATATCCTTTTGATTTGGGCAAACAAGTAATGAAATCCATGGAAATATCTTCCCAAATTAAGTTGGGAATCAGTAAGGGCTGCAGTAACCATGCGGGTGATAAAGTCTCATATTTGGCCTTTTGACAAACCAAACACTGTGCAACATAATCTCGTTCCCGTCGAAACATTCTCCTCCAAAATACGTTCATTCTGAGTCTCCTATACGTCTGGTAGGCCCCTGCATGACCTCCTGAAGGCGTGGCATGAAACTCCTCCATCAACTTTGGAATCCATCTGGAATCTGCTGGCAGCACCAAACGGCCTTTGTAAAACAGCCGTCGCCCAACCATTTCGTAACCCGGCACCCTTGCTGGATCTATCGCCAATGTTTCCTTAATCTCCCGCAAAGCCTTATCCTTTTGCTGCTCCTCTCCTATGTCGGCCAAACCCATCCATTCGGGTATGCTGGTCGCAGCTAATTCAGTTTCTTCTCCTCTTCGAGACAAAGCATCTGCTGCCGTGTTAAAGACGCCGGTCTTGTATTCAATTTCGAAATCATAACCCAACAATTTTGCCACCCAAACTTGCTGAGAAGGAGTCACTATGCGCTGAGTAAGTAGATGTTTAAGACTCTGATGGTCGGTGCGCCCTACGAATTTCCTCCCAATCATATATGGCCGCCAATGCTGCACGGCTAATGTTAATCCCATCATCTCCCTTTCGTAGGCTGATCTGGACAAGGTTCTATCAGCTAAAGACTTGTTAAAATAAGCAATTGGTCTACGCTCTTGCATAAGTACCGCTCCAATCCCGGTTCCCGATGCATCATATTCAACCACAAATAGGCGGTCAAATTGGGGCATGGCTAATACAGGGGCTTCGGTCAATGCCTTCTGGAGTCGTCAGAAAGCCTTCTCGGCCTCTTCCGTCCACTGGAAACGAGTCAAAGCTTCCTTTTTAAGAAGTCCCGTGAGCGGTCGTGCAATCAGTCCATATTCCTTAACAAATCTTCTATAG